CCCCAGCTTCCCTGCCCTGGCCACTGTGAATAATGCTCCTATGAACATTGGTGTGCAAATCTCTTTTCAGATCTGGGGTTTCAAGTCTTTGGGGTAAAAACCCAATAGAGGGATTGCTGGATCATAAGGTAGATCAATTCTTAGTTTTTTGAGGAACCTCCATACTGTTTTCCATAATGGCTGTACCAATTTGCAGTCCCACCAGCATTGTATGAGGGTTCCTTTTTCTCTGCATCCTCTCCAACATTTATTATTACTTGTCCTGTTGATTATAGCCGTTCTAATAAGTGTGAGATGGTATCTTATTGTGGATTTGATTTGCATTTCCCTAATAGCTAGTGATGTTGATCAACTTTTCATATATTTGTTGGCCATTTGTATGTCTTCTGGGGAGAAGTGTCTATTCAGGTCCTCTGCCCATTTTTTGATTGGATTATTTGGGGTTTTTTTGTTGTTATTGAGTCGTATGAGTTCTTTGTATATTTTGGATATTAGGCCCTTATCGGAGGTGTTCCTTGCAAATATATTTTCCCATTAGGATGGTTGTCTCTTTACCTTATTGATGGTTTCTTTTGCTGAGCAGAAGCTTTTGAGTTTGATGTAGTCCCATTCATTTATTTTTGCTTTTACTTCCCTTGCCTTTGAGGTCAAATTCATAAAATCCTCTTTAAATCCAAGGTCCAGAGTTTAGTTCCTATGTTTTCTTCTATGCATTTTATTGTTTCAGGTCTTATATTCAGGTCCTTAATCCATTTTGAGTTAATTTGGGTGTGTGGTGATGGACAGCAGTCTAGTTTCATTCTTTTGCAGGTGGCTTTCCAGTTTTCCCAGCACCATTTATTGAAGAGGCTTTTTCCTTTCTCACTGTATGTTTTTGGAAAAGCAGTCCATTTTGACAGCAAAATTTAGACCAATGCTTTAAAGAAATTCCTATAAATGCACTGGGGGTGGGGTGGTGGAGTCAAATGCAGGAAAAGAAAATTTTTTTCCTATATACTTATTTCATGGCTTTGTGAATTAAGGCCTTTGGGTCATTGATTCAGCTTCACTTTGATTATCTTCAGCCAAACAGGTGGTAAAGTAAAGATGTAATGTGTGGGCAAGGGCTTTATTACATCTCATCCTTTTATCTAAATCTTGACAAAAAAAATATTAGAGGTATGCGATACAGATCTTTGTTGCTCCCACAGAGGTGACATGAAACTACACGCACCAGAAACAACTTCAGAACTCCAGGATTATAAAATATCTCATAAACTTCAGAAGTTCTAGGAGTGCCTGCCTAAATTAATAACAGGCCCATCTATCATTTTGGCTTTGTCTGAGCAATATGTTAAATGATTAGGACCTGATAGCAGCTTCAAAACGCCAACTTCTATTTCACATATTTGCCATTTGCTTTCTCATATCCATGTCACTCTGTGCCAACCCTTCTCTCCAAATAAAGATGACCCATGACCTGTTGCAATTCTTGTGATAAACAACAACAAAAATCCCCAAAGCAAAAGTCTCCCCAAATTCATAGACAAAATAACACATTCTGAATAGCTATGATCCAGTGATGGTGAAGTTAAAGCATAGTTTTTCAAAATGTAATTCACTGATGTCTTCACGGCATCATCTACAGTGTTAAAAATGTAGACATCTCACAGCTTCAATCAGTCTTCAGCGTGGG